CAATTGCACTAAAAACTGGAACATTTAAAAAAATCAATTAAGCGTAAACAAGTGTATTGTAATAGGAAAATATTAATGAATGCATTTAGTATATACATATGTAGAGTATTCATGAAGGAAAAAAAAAACACAAAATACTGACGTGTGCACCATGTTAATGCTGTTTTTCGGGGGTCACTTGTATGGGGGCTATGCGAAAAGGTGGACCGATATCGCCCTTACGTGCGCGTTGTTAGGATAGATCTCTAGCCTTTAATAGTAGTCCAATCGCGTTATTTTATCTATAGGTTTTCCGTAATATTTATAAGTAGTTTCCTGAAAAAAAGAGAAGAAAAAAGAAATTAATCAAAAGGAATTAAGTTGAATAAAATTTTAAGTAATACTTACATACGTGAATACTTATACATCAGGGTACGATACGGACGGACAGAAAAGCCTCAATCACCATAAAACTTTCTCAAACATTAGAATAGATGTTTGAGAAAAACAAAGAACATGATTAAGCCGGAAAATTTAAAGCCAAATTAAAATATGAAAACAAAATCTAAGCTGAAAACTCTATTAAATTCTAAAATATAAACCTAAAGCTTAAATCCTTTGCATTAGGTTTAGTTTCGGTTTAGAAGGGCCTAGTGGTCGTAGGAGTTCATTTGATTATTACTCTCTACTTTTACATTTAAACCATCCAATTTGATTCACAAAGTTTAGGATATTCTTTAGTCATATCCCAGATAGCTTATCCAGACATGATAAAGCAGCAAGGCTGAAACATTGTTCTCTTCTTCCATTGAATGATGGTCAATAGCAGAGACGGTGAGGTATTGTTTCCTCTTCTTCCTTATTATTACAACTTCTACAGTAGTCGTTATATTCGAGACCCATTCTTCTGGCCATTCTTCTGGATTGCCAATAGTACAGTGTCCCGTTGTGACTGATACCAGCATTCTTATCTGTTCCCTGCGAAAGCTTAATAGTAAGCTTGACCTGACCAAATTGACCTCGAATTGAGACAGGTGGTTTCACTGAACCATCTGATTTGAGCCATTTCATATAGTTCAGTCTGAACCAGCAGCTTACAGTTAGTAAAAGAGATACCTATAAATGCGTCGATTTCATCTTCCCCTCTCATCGCATCATTTCTGCAAGTTCGTCAGCTATACAGTTTCCCTGACCATTACTATATCCAGGGACCCATATTAGCTTTATCCTAGAAGGTCTCGCTATCTCATTCAAAGATACCCGGCATTCTTCGGTTAACATAGATGTCGTAAAAACACCCGCTAGATTTTTAATCGCAGCTTTGCTGTGGATTTGATTCCAAATCTTTCAATGTAAAATCCACCACCCACTCTTCCATTCCTCTTGGAGCCGTCAGTGAAAACATTTGAGTGTGACTCGTGTGCTGAATTCCTATTGGGAACTCGGATGTGAAAGCGTCTGTCGAAGTGAGGTTTCGCAACGCAATAGTCTACATTAAGATGCAAGGATTCGAAGTGTTTAACTATTCGTTAAACACACACGTTTAGTCTGATTGCAAAATTAAGGGCTAGTTGAATCGCCATCAGGTCAGCTGGTAACCAATTCATTATTGTTAGCAGGGCCTTCGTTGGCGTCGTTCTCATTGCTCCCGTGATTAGGATTGCAATATTTCGTAAGGTACGTTCGATGGCTGCACAATGAGGAGCGATTTCTAATGCCTGCATGGGCTTAACAACTGCTTTGAAGATCCAGTTGATACCTTTAGGGTTGACATCCCAGTTTGAACCAACTGCCCTCTTGCAGGTGTAAATAGCTACATTAGCCTTATTTATCCTATTTTGGATGTTCATATTCCAGGATAGTTTACTGTGAAGAATTACTCCAATGTATTTCGCATGATCAGTGAGATTGAGCCTTATTCCGTTTAACTTTGGAGGCATGAAATTTTCAATCTTATACTTCCTTGTAAAAAGAACAAGTTCAGTTTTCATTGGATTTACACTGAGACAACAGGAAATACTCCACTTGCTGAGCAAGTTAAGACAAGATTCCATGCAGTTTGATATAGTATCTAGGAATTTACCAGATACTACTACCGCGACGTCATCAGCATAAGCGACAGTCTTAATTCTCCTTTTATCTAGTTCATTTAGTAAGGAGTTCATAGCCACATTCCAGAGTAGGGGAGATAGGACTCCCCCTGTGGTGTGCCACGACTGGCAAGTCTTGAGACATTGACTCCTCCCATCGTTGCACTCATGACCCTATTACTCAAAAGTTTTTTAATAAGCTGCTGAGTTTGCTGATCAACCCCTAGTACATCAAGTGCGTCTATAATGGCATAGGGTTCGACATTGTTAAATAGATGTCCAGGAAGGCAACAAGGGAATACTCTTTGTGCGCTAGTGAACTTTCTACATGTCGCATTAGCGAGTGTAGAGCCGTTTCCACAGACTTGCCTTTGGTATAGGCATGTTGTGATTTACAAATCAATTGGTTATCTCAGTTATACAACAATGACTCTTTCAAGAGACTTGAGAAGAAAAGACGCAAGACTAATTGGTCTATAGTCCTATGGTTAGGTATGTGATGTCTTTCCCCCTTTAGGAATAAAGACCACATTATATCTCATCAACATATGACGGATGTATAGCATAATAAGGCATGCTTTGTAGATCTATAGTAGCCATGGAGTGTCGAGATCTTCGTTCTTTTGAAGATCGGCAGGTATAATACCATCTGGACCCGGAGATTCCTTATTCACATGTCTTGAAGGTCCATCAGCCTCAGAAACCCTTACAACTTTCCAGTTATTTCTTGGAAGCTGACACTTACAGCACTTTTGGATCTCCAAGATCTCTTCAGGAGTGGAGGGCTCAGACGGTATTTTGGCGATGGATCGAGGCCTGCGTGGTATCTCCTCAGGAGTCACCTCTTTAAGCTTAAATCCATCTCATACCTCACCCATGGAGCATGCTTCCTTCTTCTCTTCCATTGTTTTTTTTTCGTAGTGACAGGTGCTTTTTTAACCTACTGCTAGGTTAAACTGTCGACCTCACAGGGGAAACAGAGGCAGACGCCGCCCAATATGGGAACAGACGTTGGTGGATTCGGACGGACATTACACATTCAAGTGTATGGTTCATAAAACCAACCGGACTTGCTTTCCATGACCACCCCTCTCAGTGAGGGGAGAATATCTATGAAAAGCGTCTGATAGCCGTCCCATAGGGAAACAGGTGCTACAAGACAGGGTTTCGGGCTCAAAGTAGACCCGTCTGGAATGGGAGACCCTACCAGGAATCGCCAACTTGTGATGGCCATTCCCGACAGCATGGCTCTACAGATCATCACGCTTAAGCATCTACATCACTTCAAGATGACTACCCATCGCAGATATTAAACTGAATCTAAAAATTTGAAGCTAAATTTAAATATTACAACTAATATTGTTAAATTTTGTTTAAATAACTTTTATTTTTTAATAAACCTAAAACTTTTATGATATTTAAAGGAAAATCTTAAAAATATTCTCCTAAAAAAATTAGCTAAATATCGTTAATTTAATGTAAAGTAATTTTTTTCACTATCTGTTTATTTATTTATTTAAGAAATTCAGCTGTCATGAACCATACGGTAAAAACAAACGTTTTCATAGTCGAGCATGGCCGACCATATGATACCCTACACCACCACTATAGTGGTGTAGGGTATAAAAATAAAGTAAAAATATTTTATATTACAAATTTAATTTCTAATTAGAATTTTCAATATTAAATACAAAAACGCCTTTAAAGAAATCATAGCTTATGTCCCTAGTGCAATACTATGAATCCAATTCCAAATTTCTTTTTTTCCAACTACAAATTTTTTAAATACCAATAGCATACTATGGATAAAAAAAAATAAAATCTATACATCATATTAAAGTACCTTTTATTTGAGATACAAATTATCAAATTCTAACGCTTAGTTTTTGTGATAATATAATTTGCACCACAAAATAACGTCAATTCTATTAATTTTTTCACCACTGTATTTTGGTACATAAATAAATAAATAAATACATCAATAAAGTTTATTTAATTTGAAAAAACCATCATGCCATATCCATGTTTTCACGATTAAAGCTTTAAATTTATGGAACTTACATTTGTCCACAACATCTACATGATTTTGCAGACATGTTTTACAAATACACTACAGAATACATCCAGGAAATATTTTGGATTTACCTCTTTCAAAGAGTTTTGTTTAATCGCATAGCTCGGTTAAGAACTTTTCAATCTAAGTGGAATTAATGTCCATATTGTTACGCCCTTTCTCACTTACAGCATAGAATAAATGTATGTATGTTATTTATATGATTTGTTTGTCCATATTAAAGGAAGTTTACTCTAGTGATCGAATAAGGTCTGTTTTCTTGATTATTCGCATAATAAGTTATTCGAATGAATACCGTAGATCTTAAAATATAATATTTATAAAAAATAGTGATAGAATTTTTTTATTCTAAATTGAAAAAACTTTGGTTCATTTGAATATAAATTTATTATTTATTTGTCCATTCCAATACAATTACAAATTATATTCTAACCTAATTTACCGAGCAGGGTGACGATGACCATACGTCCGTTTTTTTAAGGTAAATTATTATAAATAGCTCTACAATAAACAAACAGTAATTACAAATTATACACTGTCCCATAATCGGTCTCTCCAGTATATTAAATATTAGCTATGCTATTTATTTTTTGAACATTAAATATAATTTTTAAATTGAAAGATTGCTTCTGTATAATTTATGTAATGAGAAAAAAATAATAGTAAAACATTACACTTACCATACGCCCGTTGTAGTGTAGCAGACCAGAGTCTTTGGTGTGAATCGAACCCACAACCCCCGGACTGACATGCTAGCACACTACCAACTAGCCTATCGGGATACCCGATATAAATTTATATTTTTTGTGGATAGTTACTAGCTAGTTACTTTGAAAATGTTTCACTTCACTTTTCAGGTGGTTCGCAAAATTGGTGGTGGAGGATTTGGAGAGATTTATGAAGGTCAAGATCTCATTACACGCGAACAAGTAGCATTGAAAGTGGAATCAGCACGACAACCTAAGCAGGTACTTAAAATGGAAGTAGCGGTACTTAAAAAATTGCAAGGAAAAGAACATGTGTGCCGTTTCATAGGATGTGGTCGTAATGATCGTTTCAATTATGTTGTAATGCAATTACAAGGCAAAAATTTGGCCGAGTTAAGACGCGCTCAGCCTAGGGGAGCATTTTCTTTAAGTACTACTTTGCGGCTAGGTCTGCAAATACTGAAAGCAATAGAATCTATACATTCGGTTGGATTTTTACATCGTGATATTAAGCCGGTATGTACAGAATTTAAATGTAAAAATCTTAAGAAAAGCATTTGTTTATTACAGAGTAACTTCTCAATTGGACGTTTACCATACAACTGTCGTCGTGTTTATATGCTAGACTTTGGTTTAGCGAGGCAATATACAACTGGTACAGGAGAGGTTAGATGTCCACGTGTTGCGGCAGGCTTTCGCGGTACAGTTCGTTATGCCTCAATAAATGCTCACAGAAATCGAGAAATGGGACGACATGATGATCTTTGGTCCCTTTTTTATATGCTAGTCGAATTTGTTAATGGTCAACTTCCATGGAGAAAAATCAAAGACAAGGAACAAGTAGGTCTAACCAAGGAAAAATATGATCATCGCATTCTACTGAAACATTTGCCTTCCGATTTAAAACAATTCTTGGAACATATCCAATCCTTAACCTATGCTGATCGTCCTGATTATGCGGTAAAGTATTTATGTTTAGCCTCTTGGTCATAATCTCCTTATTTCATATTTATATGTAAAAATCATTGTCCTCATGGTATCGTGATATTTAAAATTTTAAATATTAATGTCTATGTACACAGATTTCAAAAACGCTGTTAGGTTTTGGATTCTGTGAGCACTTGAAAATATATATTAATTTTTTTAGTCAAATCTTATCATTCAGTAAGAGCAATTGAAAAAATACTGTTTTTTATTACATTGTTTGAATATGACCATCCGAAAGTTTTAAATTAAACTGCTTCTATACTTACTGCAGATGTTGTTTGGTCCAAGATAATGTTATGGTCGCATTCAACCACTGAAATATTTTTGAATAACATTTAAATTCATATTAAGGATCTACTTGTTGTCCAGAAAAATTTATATGTTCTTAATTCCTTTTAGATGCTTATTGGCTTATTTGAACGTTGTATGAAACGTCGTGGTGTCAAAGAATCAGATCCATATGATTGGGAAAAGGTTGATGCAACAGGTAATTCAACCACAGCAACCAACATTACTTGCAGTCAATCAAATCAAATTAATCACGCTCAAGTAAAAAATGAATATGTCCATGGCAATATAACGCAAATGACGGTTGTAGCGTCCAACGCAAGTGGTACTGAATATGTAAGTTATATTTCATTCAAAATATTTATAATTATTCACGTCTCTAATTTAAGTACTTTTATAGTGCCATAACTCAAAATACATGTCTTCTACAACTAATTCTAAGAAATAAAATTTTTCATGGCAATTAATTTTGTAACAAACAATAAAATGGCTTAAACATTCAAGACAGTTTTACTGAAAACATTGTTTTTTTGAGTAATGTCACTATTGACATAAATTAGCGATACTATTATATCTTACACCAATAATCAGCTTAGGATTTTATTTTAAATTGATTTTGCGATGTTCGTTCGTCTGCCTAAATCTCACAGATTTGTTTATTGAAGTGCCTTTTCCAAATATAGTGAAGGAATTTATAGTTTTTTACATAGTTAGTAGCTTTAATTACCCTTAAAAGTACTAAGGACACGTTTATGTTTTAATTTAATTTACCGAAATATTTGATAGTTGGTGTAGGATATTATATAGACGGACGTGTTCGGCTATCTTACTTACTATTTATGGATATCGAAGTCCGTCATTTATAATGTTCAAATAAAGTTGCTGAAGACTCCAAATATCTTTAGGTTTCAAGCAATAGATCGTTCTATGTGGCATGATTTCGAAAATCTGTTAAATCGGAGATATCGGATAATCGGAAGATTTTTAAAAAACATTTTCAGAAATTTGTATTTTTCTAAATAAATAAAATAATTTTTTTTATAAAATATACTACCTATGTTGAAGAGTATATTAGATTCGGCATAGCCGAATTTAGAACTGTAATTTATTTTTCTTATTTTCTTTTCTTGTTTATAGCTGCGTAGAAGAAATGATGTTGATTCAGCACAAGTTGCTAGTGCTGAACTCCTTCACGTTAAGGATAAGGTAAATACATATAAGGGCCCATAAAAAGGCCCATATTATTTTTTAATTGTCACTTGATGAACACTAATTTAAGTCAAATTATACGCGTGTTTCAGTGGTAAGGAGGGTTCAAAAAATGCTTATTATTTTCTGTTTTATACTGATTATATTCCGGATTACGACAATAAAATTAGAATTTCACACAATTAAGTAGCTTAATTATATACATATACATATGTAATATCTTTAGACACAATAGAAAAAATTAATTTGGTCCGATTTATTAATTTTTAAAAAAACTAGACAAATTTAGTATTTCCTAAATATTGTATTTTCTAAATAGTTGTTAGATCACGACATTTTAAGTATGTGTGTTAATGAAAATAATTTGAGGATTGTCTAAAGTTTTTCTATAGATTTAATTTTACTCGCCACAACAAATATATGGAATTAACTGATTATTTTTGGAAACAAAAAAAAAGAGTTAATGTGCAGCAAAAAAATTATTTCCTTGACCATTCCATGTCATTATTAACTCACATTGTGATGATAAATTTATTAAATATCATTGTTTTGAATTACATTTAAACATAGTCGAAGTTAAGGTAAAAATTGTATTATGTGTACACCACTTTATACTTATATAAAAATAAAATATTAATTTCAATTTAAAGAAAATAATAAACCTGAGTAGATGATGTTTATATTCCTTTTAAGGTTGTGGATAAAAATTGCAATAACACTTCACCGCAGGCTGAAAATAATTTTCAAAATCTTAATAGTAGTAATCAAAATAACTCCAATAAGGTTCCAGCAATAACAACATGTGGAGGTGGTGGAGGGGGAAGCGTACGCAACACCAACATTAAAGAACAACAACAACCAAGTCAAATGATGATAATGCATGGTCAGACTGAAAATGCTGCTGTGACGCAACATGCTGGCGTTACACCGGTTTTATTAAAAACCACCGTATTGGCTGCAAGTTATAGGTCGGAACCGAATAAACAACAACATAATATATTTCAAAATAAACACGCAAATCCACAACAAACTGTTTTAACCTCCAAAAAAGCAGTAACATCACCCCTAAACCAAAATAACTCTGCGCCGCTTCACCACATTAGTGTAAGTTTTTTATATGTATCAATTACATGTCTTATATAAAAGAAAACTGACATAAATTATGATAAATGTTTCATTGTTTCTCACCAAAATACTCTAGTTTACATATTGCAGGCAAATTAAAATTTGGGCTTTATGTGAAATCTTTAGTATACATATGTATATTTCTTATGAACTGCAATCCAAAGTAGTCCGTCTGTTTTTTCTATTATTCTACCACTTTTTATGGAAAAGCAAAAACGGTCCATATATGTATATCAGAGACGTGCTAAAAATTTAAGAAACAATTTTGTTCTTATATTCTTAGTTATGCTTCAAATATTAGATTTTTTAATTAAGAGATTTGAAATTTATAAAAAGAAAAAAAAAAAACAAGAATTCTCTAATCAAAATTTTCACTATTGCCGAACATACTAAAAATTTAGCTTATCATTAAATTTTAATAATAATAAAATGTATTATTATAATTATATTTATTTCAGAGTCAAAATGTTGTAATGGATGGTATGATGATGGGCGAGGATGGCACAACTTCTACATCTTTGAATGGAGGCGGTGGGCGATTACGAAAAGTAAATACTAGTAAAATCGCTGCTGATGATTTGAAATCTGCTAATATCAGTTTCGGAGATAATCAACAAAATATAGAGCTAGGCAGCGGAATGGGTGGAGTTGGCGGAGGAGGAAATTCAATGAATGTTAAGAAAAATACACAAATTCCTAGTGGCATTGGTCAGGATGGAAATGGTGGCGCAAAATCGGCACAACAAGAAAAACCATCCACAAATGCTTCAAATAAACGCTGTTGTGCATCTAATACAAATGTTGCGGCAGCGGTCGCGGAACAGCCCAAAAATACGTTTATAAGTCGGTTACAAATTGCAACTAACATAGTGAATCCGCAAGAAGGTAATGAAATTAACTGTGCTCTTGAATCGGAATACGAGCCTACTGCTTTTTCATTAGAAGTGGCAAATCGTGTTTCACAACCTTCATCAATAAGTAAAAACCATTGTGCTATTGAAGTCAATAATTCGGTGGCTACCACAGCTCCTGCTACAGTTCCTGCTCCACCACTTGCCCGTCGTTCTTATACTTCAACCAATCTGAGGCCATCTTCCGTGGCAGGATCAACACAACGTCTCAATAGTAGTGTTTGTGGTGCTGGTACAGCCACTATAGCTACAGCTAGAGGTAGTGCAGGGGGCGGGGATCATTCAATTACGCAGTTTGCCCTCATTGATGATGAGAATGTATCTGCTCTGCAACAGGTCACTAAAGGCGGTGGTGCCTTAACTTTGGCTAGTCAATGGAAAAGTCAATTTGACGATTCTGAAGATACAACCGATAACGAATGGAAGCAGGAAGCGCAGGTAAGAATTTACATATTACATTCAAATATTTCAAAATATTAGGTCACCATTGAGATGATCTCTGTTGCAAAAGCGAAATTATGCAAAAACATAAAATGTTTAGCTTTAGCTTAATATATTTACTTATTTATAATAATTGAGTTCCTGTTCCTATTATTTCTTAAGTTAAACATTGTATCCCACAAAAACTAATTGGGTTTCATCTTTGATATAAAAAATTAAATTACCATATTCCACGGTACAAAAAGTTACATTAGTTACATGTTTTTGTCATTCCGTTTGTAACACATCGAAATATCATTAGATTCTAAGACGATCTAGCCATGTCAGTCCGTCTGTTGAAAACACGAAAACACGTCCGAATGGAAAAAGCTAGAGGGCTGAAAATTTCCAGAAATGACTTAAAAATTACATAAATGTCAGGATTTATAAGAATTTGTAAAAATATGTATTTAAAGTTGCTAGGGCATTTTCTAAACTGGATATTATAGCAACTGATAGAAAGTCTGCGGTGAATATCGATGTGTCATCTGCTAATATGGAAATAATACAGTTGGGTGTAATTGGGGTATCTGCAGTAAATATGTTGTATAGAATAGGTATAGTATACTACGTCATTGTGTTTTAGGATAGAGATGTTTTTTATTTTTTATACCCTACACTACTTTAGTGGAGAGGGTATATTGGGTTTTTTGCTGATGTTTCTAACGCACAATAATATTAGTCCTATATCCACCTTAGTATACCAATCGGCTTAGAATCAATTTCTGAGTCGATTTAGCTATGTATATCCGCCCGTCTGTCCTTGTAATCAAACTTCAGGTCGCAATTTTGAAGATAATTCAATGAAATTTGGCACATGATCTTCTATGGTACCGGAGACGAATTAAAAATGGTTAACGTCGGTCCATTATTTCACTTAGCAAGTTCTATACAACTGAACCCGACGAATAGGGCTTTTAAGTTCATAATTATGTTTAATATACACGTATCTCGACAAAAAGCTGCAAAACCAAGTTCTATACTAGACTAGACTCTCATACATTTTATAATTCTAGGGTCTCATTTGACCATAGCCCCTATACAAAGCCCCCTTCAAAATTTGACTTAAATGTCCACAATTTTGTTCAACAATAAATGGCTTAAGTATATCTGAGGCAAGGTACAATTCAACTTAAATGCTTTATTATGAAAACTAAATCACATTTTATTTTTGTAACAGGTGTAGGGTATTATATGGTCGGCCTCGTCCGACTATAATTTCTTACTTGTTTTTATTTTCTTCTTAAGAATTTAAGAAATTTTTCAGAATGGACGTGTAGATTTGTCTAGAGTAGATATCATATTGTTCCAAGATAGATTTCGTATTTTATTTAGTTCTACTCTAATTTTTATACCCTTCACCACCATCAGTGGTGATAGAGGGTATATAAAACTTTGTCATTCCGTGTGTAACACCCAGAAATATTCATCTGAGACCAACAAAGTATATATCGCACACCCAGTACAAAAGTGACACAACTCAAAAATTTTTTTTTTAAGAAAAGGAAACAAATTTTTTACAAATTCTGAAAGATAAAGAAAGACATAACGTTTTTTCTTGAACAGTTAACAACAACAAAATACACTAATATTTTTGTAGAGTTAAACAAGTATCTTGTACATAGTTTAAGGCTTAAACTTAAGGCTTAAAGAATATAAAAACGCAAAAATAAAATTTTGAGTTGTGTCACTTTTGTACTGGGTGTGCGATATATTCTTCGACCTTATGAAATTCTGAGTCGATCTAGCTATGTCCGTCTGTCCGTCAGTCCGTCCGTCTGTCTGTATAAAACATTCTCACGCTAACACGAAGCAACAAAAATTAACGAAATTCACTCAAAATATCTATTATTGTCCTAGGCATCGGAAAAAGTTATAAATCAAAATTTGAAAAAAACTCCGAAAAAATAAGCTTTTTTACATATTCTAATGTAATTTTCACAAAAACTGTGCAATATAACTCCATAAAAATCATCACACATTTGTTTCTATACAAGTGCTTTTGGCGGAATCGGTCCACAATTCCACATACCTCCCATATAAATGTACATATTCGCGGAAAATTAGTTTTTTGTTAATAACTTCCGTTTGAATGTCGATATCTTCACAAAATTTTACAAATGAAAGTTTTATGTCAATAGAATTCTTTCAGAAAATCATTTAAACGTACATAACTCATTATCAAATAATGATACTCATTCAAAATTTGGTATATATATTAACATTGAATACAGAAATGTTATTTTAATTGCTCTTATATATGGAGAAATGTTACTTTTTTCTTAACGTAAAAAACTTATTACTAAATTAAGATATGCATACAAAATTTGGTGCAAGTATACTCTTATATACAGAAATGTTACTGTGACATTTTTTCCGATCGGTCCATAATTGGTCATAGGTCCCATACAAGGTCTTCTCCCGAAAATCACTTAAACGCACATAACTCATTTCTAAATGAAAGTATCCATACAAAATTTGGTAGAAGTATTGCTCTTATGCCGAAATATTACTGTGAAATTTTTCGGTGCATAATTGGTCATAATTCCCATACAAGGTCCCCAACCGAAAATCATTTAAACGCACATAACTTATTACCAAATATTGATATACATTCATTTAGCAAAACATTTTGTCTTTATATACATTAATGTTACTGTGGAATTTTTTTACGATCGGACCATAATTGGTCATAGCTACCATACAAGGTCCTCTTACAAAAATCTCTTAAACGCACATTACTCATTACCATATAAAGCTATTGATACAAAATTTGGCACAAATATTATATTTCATGATTTTTTCTCGATCGGTTCATAATATGGGTGCGAACGGTCCCATACAAGGTTCCCTTCTGAAAATCACTTAAACACACATTACTTATTACTAAATTACTATATAGATACAAAAATTTACTGAAATATAGCTTTTATGTAGAGAAATGTTACTTAAAGAATTTTTTACGATCGATCATATCTCCGCATTTAACTAGTTGCATTATCAATTTGTATAGAACAATATTAGGTAGGTTGATAGGAGGATGTATATTACATCAAATCCGAAGAAATACACCTAGGCCACTATCGGCCCTGTTGTGCGCTCCTTATCATGAAAAAAAAGGGAACTGAATGAAATTATTTTTCAGTGTTCATAAACTTAGTTTCCTGAACGTAATTCCTAAGAATTTTCCAATCAGTGTTAGTCAGGAATGTTATTTCCGGAATAACATCACTTCCAAGATACTTGGATCTAACTTCGACTAATGCAGTGGCAAAGAAAGTGCTCCAGAGTTTCACTGTCCTCTCCACATGCTCTACATTCGTCTGAATCCGCACGTCCAATTTTGCATAGATGTGTTGGTAATCCTGTGTGTCCAATCAGAATACGTACCATCATACTAACTTCAGACTTGCTCATTTTGAGAAGATTTTTCGTCTTGCTCTCATCAGGGTCACCCCATAGGATCTTCGTGGTTCTACCCACTGTTTCATTATTCCAAGAGGCCTTATGGGATTCTCTCACCCATATTTTTAGTTCAGCTTTTGTTGCGTCGAATGGTTTCGCGTTTGTCAGGTTAACAGCCTCGAGCTCCCTACCTTTTAAAGCTATTACTTTCGCCCTTTCGTTACCGACTTCTCCGGAGTGGGCTGGTACCCATATGACGTGAACCTTACCACTGGGAGAGTATTCAGTTAAAGCTTTCTTACAATCCAATACGGTCTTAGATTTAGTCTGATATCGCAATAATTGCCTTCTGGCTATCGGTAAATATATTTAGCGCTTTGGGCGCCATATTTATTCTAATCCAATTTACGCATTCCGTTATTGCTCGTACTTCTGCCTGTAAGCTTGTGTTATGATTTGGTAACCGGTGGTATATTACTGTTTCTGGGTCTTCAATATAGATCCCCAGCCCCACTTTGTCCCCCAATTTAGAGCCATTCGTGTAACAGCGGATTCCTACTGGTAATATTCCGCTTGACCAAGACATTCTATCTGGGATCAGCGTTTCAAAGTTTGCGACATATTCTGTGTCTGGTATACGATCAGCCACGTCCAATGTTTGTGTATAACCTTCCAATGTGTCCAGTATACATTGATGACGTGTCCTATAACCGCTTTTGGCCAGTTCGCCTAAAGTAAAGAGCCGTTCGGCTGTAAACGCCGCCTCATATCTTAAATATGTTTCAATGGATGGAATATCTAGCAACGTTTCCAGAGCCTTTGTTGAAGTGGTACACATGGCACCACTTATACCCAAGCAGCATGTACGCTGAACTCCCTGTAGTAGTTTGATATTGCACTTTTTGTCTAAAGCAGTCCACCAGATTATTGAAGCATAAGCTAGAATTGGTCTAATTACACTTTTATAAAGCCAATTTGTCATAGTAGGACTAAGACCCCATTTCATGCCTATTGTTCTCCTACATATCGCCCAGACCCGATGTGCATTGTTGATCCTATCCTCTATGTGGTGTTTCCATTTTAATTTCCGGTCGAGGATTACACCTAAGTACTTAACTTTGTCTGCCACTGGTATCTTCCTGCCCAGGAAGCAAGGTTCAGTATACGTAGAAATGTTTGTCTTTCTTGTGAAAAGACAGATTTCCGTTTTTGTCGGGTTAACATTGAGGCCTCTCGGTTGAGCCCAGCTCAAGGCCGTATTCAGAGCCTCCTCAGCTCTTCTACACAAGTAATTTGGATCCATTCCCTTTAAAAGTATTACGACAACGTCTGCATAGCAGAGAGGTCTAAGTCCTTTCTCAGTTATGGTCCTTAGGAGGCTATTAAACGTGGTAACCCAGAGTAAAGTTGACAAAATGCTACCCTGTGGTATACCGCGAAATACCTTTTTCCCAATAGTAACATCGTACATCTCGCAGCTTATCCATCTGTTCCTTAGCATGTAGTTGATCCAATTACGGAGCACCCGGTCAACATAAAACTGGTCTAGGGAT